TATGAGGTTCCCAGGACAGAGTTTCATCAACAAAAAGACCAAAGTACTTAGTTACCTTAGTGTATTTCAGTGTACCAATTTTATTTATATATACCGGGTGTTCAAATTAAAGTGTTACAGTTAAATACCGCCGAAAATATGCATTTTAGAAAAAAAAGTTTCAGACAAAAGTTTTATAGTTTTTTGGGGGAAACATTTTGGCTAAATTCATTTTTTTATAGCTGGCCATATCGAGGTGAACTTTGTTTTTTTAAATCGGAATCCCATTTTTTTCTTACATATTCTTAAAGTACATAAAAAATAAGAAACTTTTGAGGGAAATATTTTTTTGATTGGACTTTTACTTTTTGAGTAACAGCTACTTGAAAATGTTGCTGCGCGAAAAAAAAGTTAGCCAAAAGTTTTTCCCCACAAAACTATAAAACTTTCGTCTGAAACGTTTTTTTTTTTTTTTTATAAAAAGCGATATATAGCTGTAACGCTTTAATTTAGAACACCCGGTATATTTGATTCATTGATACCCCAGGTTTTGTTTTGCAATATACATAAATGTAGATGTGTCTTGGTTAAGAGTAAGTTTATGACTGCATTTTGTGAGCATCTCCAGGTCACCCCTGATGTATAAATATGCCTCGTCAAGATACAGGAGCACTTTGTCATCGGCATAAAGCTTTAATTTTGAAATTGAATTTATATAAGCTAGAGACAAAGTAGGATCCAATATTGATCCTTGGAGAACACCTCACTGTACCTTTTTTGTGACACTCCGCTCCACGCCATTCAGTAATACATACTGTTCCCTGTGACAACTTTGAAACCAACCAAGAACGTTGTTTCTAATTCCTGTCAATTCGAGTTTTCTCATTAGAAAGAGAATGACAACAGGGCACACTTTTTTCCACTGCCCGCTTTTACCTAGATTCTCTGAAATCATACTGATATTTATAAAAAAAGTTTAAGGAATTTAGAAATGACAAAAGCTTTTTATTTATGATTTTTTAGTGATTTTTTGGTCGATAGTTATTAGCAAGGTTCTTATCACCATCCTTAAATAGGGGTTTTATGTGGTACGACACCAGGATTAAAAGATTGATTTGATTAATATATATTACACAAAGCCTTTGATATTTCTTCTTTACACTGTTATTTCACTCTTATTTACATCCAAACTTTGTATCTCATTATGTACCTCCCTCTCTGAGGTTTCAGATAAGTACATACTTCTAACTGATGAAAATTCCTGTTGAGGATCCAGATCCGATGGAGGTAATTTTTCAGCTACACTGATGAGACTAAACACACTATTATAGTAATAATTTCTTTTTATAGCTTCCCGCAGATTGGCTCTGAGGTTCAAACTTAAAGGAGACTTGTTTAATTGCTTATAGTAGTAGTCTCTTACTTTAATGGATGATATGACGTCTTCATTAACCAATGACTTAGACGTATGATGAGGTTTGATCTGCTTTCCCTCATACTGCCTCGTAACACAATCAATCAAATCATCCACTGATTTTAGACAGGATTCATTATGTGATTCAAGGATTTTTTTATATCTTCATAGTTAACTCGATTCATTTGCACCTTTTTAGTTTTGATCCAATACCTGTTGAGTTATAACTGAGTGTACGATTACTCTGGACGTCGTATCAACATATACACACAACCAAACTTATATGGAATCATCTATTATTTTTCATAATTTTTGAGATGTATGAACATTTTTTTTTATGAATAAAACTCGTTCCTTACCAAAGACTTCTAAAGACAAATAACCCACATAGCAATAAAAATAATTAATTAGTTGAGAAAATAAACACAATGGTATTTTTTTGGTTTCTGAAACGAAATGAGATTTAAATTTTTAATAGCCGAAAAGCAAAAACAGAAAGAAAATTGGTAATTTTAACAATCCGTTTTATCACCTCTAACCCTTATGCAAGCTTCTATTCGCCTTGGCATGCTTCTTATTAAATTGTCAACATTGTCTTGGGGTATTTTTTCCCATTCTGCTAATGCTGCATCAATAAGCTGTGCGACATTTCCTGCATTGTTTCAACGAGCTCTAATCCTTCTTTTGAGCTGGTCCCACAAGTGTTCGATAGAATTTAGGTCTGGTGAACATGCATGCCAGTCTAAAACTGTGACACCTTCTGTTTCAAGATATTCTGTAGCCCACTCTACTGGTATGGGGAGGTGCATTATCGTGCATAAACACAAACTTATCCCCAATTGCAGCTCTCCAAAGCCTTACGATTGGTTCTAACACTAAATCAACATATCTCGGACCGGTTAAAGTTTTTTGAAGTGGTAACAATGGAGTTTTTGCTTCCAGCATAATACCTGCCCAAAACATTACAGTTTCTCTTTGATACCTTGGGACATATCTGGTAGCGTGGAGTCTCGCTCACCTTCCTGGAGCTCTGAGAACCCGAATTCGATGGTCATCTGATCTTAGGCCAATTCTGGTCTCATCCAAAAAAAGAACATTTTGCCAATTCTCAATTGTCCAGTTTTGTTGTTGGAGGCACCAATTTAGCCGGTCAATATTATTTTGCCTAGATAACAGTGGGACCTGTAACTCTTTCCTACTGTACAAACCTCGTGCGCGAAGTCTTTTTCTTAGAGTTTCCATTGAAACGTTCACACCTGTAGCTTCCAGAAGTTATCGTAGTAGCTCTAGATGAGAAACACTGGGATTTCGTCAAGTAAATTGGCACACAAAACGGTCCTTTTGTTCAGTTGTGACTCTTTGACTACTTTGTATGGGCCTGTTCTTGAGAGTTTTTAGTTCCAAGTACCTTTCACACGTTTTCGATACAACACCCTGAGTATCGCTTACTACCTCTGCTACGTCTCATTGGGGCATTCCTTGTTCGATGAGAGCAATAATTCTCACCCCTCTGCATATCTGTTAGTCCAATATAAGGCATTTTGTTGCTTTTTGGACCTTAATAAAATTACCGGAGGATCGTGATTTTACTTCTGAACACAAAATTCACAAGATAATAAATCTCAGCAGTCGTTTCTTCTTTATTATCATATTTGTTAAGAATAAAAGGCCTTATCTTAAAGTTGGTTACCAAATTTTTTCTTTAAAAAACGTTTATTGATATATACAGTGATTCCATATAAGTTTGGTTGTGTGTATTATACTGAGGAAAAAGTTTAACTGAAACTTTAAAATTAACTAGACCAGTTAAAAAGTTTAGAAGGTTTCAGAAACGTTATCTTACTATTCTAGATAAAAATAAATTTCAGAAACTGCGCACCTGCTACGTTTGACCTTTTTACTGGAATGTCTCTTTTTGGAAACGTTAAAACAATTTATCTAAAAAGTTCAATTAATATATATTATTATTATTATTATTTTTGTTATTAATTATTGCTACTATTATTGATTTCAAATACGAAAATTAATGACGCTATGGACCAGAGAAATAGAGGACATGAAAATGGAAGTAAACATAAAATAAATAAATGAAAGGTAAATAGATAACCAAAATAAGGAGATTAAAAGTAAGAACGCAATAACAACCTATAAATACTTGGGAAATATAAATTGACAGAGAATGGGAAAATAGAAGCAGAATTAATAAACAAAGCAAAACATATTATATTTATTAAACAAAACTGAGCCAGACGATATCGAAACAGAGTTAAAAATAAAAAGCCATAACATAATACCAACATAAACTTATGCCTGCGAAAACTGGATATTATGCAAGAAAGATGAAATAAAAATTAATACTATGGAAATGAAACACTTAATAAAAATCGCAGAAAAAATCAAACGGGATAGCATTAGTAATAAGGGTATTAGAAAAATAACCAAACAAGATCTAATAATGAAAAAAATTAAACGGAAACAACTAAACTGGGATGAACACTGGTAGAATAAGAAGAAAATTTTCAGAAATAGGAAAACAAAGAAAAAGGAAATAGATAGACCAAATTAACGAAATAACAGAAAAACGAAACACAAAAGCTGAGATGAAAACAATGGCAAAGCCTGAAAAAACGGAAGAGGCCAAGGAATCTTTTTCCGACGCCTGAAATGGCAAAGGAATCCGAAAAAAAATATTATTTAATGAACAATGTTTTCATAAATAATAATCATTTTAAACATTTTTTGTTTCTTAAAACTAATATTTTGTTTCAATTATTAAGTAATTTATAATAATTTTTAACGACATTATCAAACGAAGACTATAGAATGTTTATATTTCCATTATCGTCGTTCGACCTGTAACCTTTACAGTACACCTTGATACTAAAAACAAAATTGACCTCTAGTTGTGACATGGATGTGTACTTGAATTCTATCGTTTATGAAATAACTAAATAATTTTCACCAATGCTTTAAAAAATTAAGCAATTATCTAATTATATAGCAAAGAAAATAATATATATCACGCATTTAACTTTAAGAACGGGCGTCATTAAATACCGTGCATTATTTTAATATATTTTTAAAGAAATAAACCTACCTATAATAAAATACTTTCCTTTCATTGCAGAATAAATTTAATAAAATAAGTATACTCTCAAGATTTGGGTATGAAAATTTATCTATTTTCTATATTTTAGTAGGCATATACATATAAGAAATTAAAATAAAAAACCATTTTTTAATCCAGATAAATTAAATAGCAGCTATTTATAAAACAAAAAGAATGAGTTGAGTTTATAGAAAATATTAGGTTTTATAACAAAATTCTAATTAAAAATATATTTTTTGAGAAAACCAATATTTTATCAACATTACTAGAATGAACATGCCAATTAGAGGTGCTAGATAATACTGATAACCGAGATCTGTTAACATGCTCAAATTATGTTAATGGTTAAAGCGACAGTCTATAAATAGGACAAGAAAAACTAATAGAAAAAGTGCAGTGAAAAACAAAACATAACGACTATTGATCGTTGTTCTACTGCGACAACGACAACTGTTGATGCCGTTTCCAACAAGTTGCAGGAGTTGGTTAAAGACTCACCTCTCTTGGAGCTGACATGGCCGTAGAGTCTGCTAAGGTCTATGGCCATGACGGAGTGCGGGATGGCCGCACACATGACCACGAAAACGGCGACCAGCAGCAGGGGGTGAGCCGTTCGCGCCACCCGGACCATAGCTGGGGCACTATTAGGGGATTGTGTCGACACTGACAGGGACAGGGAAGCCGCCCTTCCCTGCTCCGATACTTATAGAGCCAAGCCGTGACTCCGTGAGCGCGAGCCGATACGCGAACGCGACCGACCTGTTAGGGGTTGCAACGTCGCTCTACGTTTTTAGCGCCAGTGGCTTCTCGTTGGGGTAAATAACTGCAGTACGCTTCTAATTCTCAGTCTCCTCACGCCTATTTACTTAAATAAACACCGTTGTTGTTCCTTAATATTACTATCTTAACTCACATTTTTAATGTTATAATAACTGAAGGTAGCTGTCCGCAACTCTGAAAGAAAACATTTGTTTTTTCTTTCAAAAAAAATCTACTCGATCTCCGCAAAATCTACTCGATCTCCGCCCTATTAGTATTTTATGCTGTGTCTCAGTTTTTGAAAAACTGATTAATAAACAAATTAGAAAATTTCTAGATTACGATTTCTTATTGTTAAGTATTGGACACGGAAACTTCTTCTGAAAAGATGAATTATTCTCCTTTTAAACGGAAGAGTTTATTGACAATACAAATTATATTTTTGACAAAAATATTCAAATTTTTTTTTAACACTTCCCCCTATTCGAGTGTTAAATTTAAAATTATAACTATGCCATTTCTCAAAACTAATAATTACCAACATAGTCGAGTAGAGATATAACAATAAACCTAAAAAAAAATTAAACTAAATATCTATTTTGTCAAGTCCTATCTCTCCTAAAAACTTTTAGTGTTTTAATTTAGGAAGAGTTTTCGTAAATAAATCAGTATTTGTGGCTTTATATTTAATAATGACTTGACCACTGGCAACAGCTTCTTTAACAAAATGATAATGTTTATCAATATGTTTAGTTCATTTAAACGCCCGATTATTAAGTTGATTACAGCACCCCTTATAATTTTCGGGCAAGCATCTCTCAAAAAGTAATTTTTTTAAAAAATAAAAATTTTGCGAAAATAAATTTGGCAATAATATTATTTATTTAAAGTTTTAGTTCCTTCCAGTTTCCAAGAAACAAAATCAAAGGGCTTAAAATTTAAAAATATAATGAAAATAAATGTATTCCTCAACAGCACTATTCTTAATATAATCCCCAACTTTAAGCTCTTAATGTCTTGTTAATGATTTTTTAAAATTCGCCAAAATTAGTGGCTAAGACGCTTCGTTAAGTGCTATCTTCTGGTGTAAACTGGTGTAAATCGTTGCAAAAAACGAATGATGACTGAGATACGATAGTTACAGACGCGTTACACCTGAAAGCAGCACTTAACGAGGCGTTTTAGTCACTAATTTCAGCGAATTTTAAAAAATCATTAATAAGAGATTAAGAGCTTAAATTTGGGGATTACATTAAGAATGGTGCTGTTGAGGAATACATTTATTTCCATTATGATACTTTAAAATTTAAAGCCCTTTGATTTTTATTTTTTTTGGAAACTGGAAGGAATTAAAACTTTAAAATATATACATATTCTAGATATTATTGCCTAATTTATTTTCCCAAATTAAAACCCATTTACATTTTACTGTATTAGTATTTTTTGGTCTATCAACTAATTGCCATACACCATGCGATAAAAGTGAGTATACTCATCTTTCATGGCTTCAATCCACTGTTTTCTTTTATCTGAAGTGAGAGCATCATAAAAACTGTTAGGCTCATTTCTACCATCTTGGTAAAATAATTCATTTCATAATTTTCAGTTCAAAAAGGTAAACGCCGTTCACGCATATGCCTCCCTTTTGCAGGTTGTTGTAAACTAGTATTTTCTTCAGATCTCGTATCTTCTGTGTCTGGAAAATTAGCATTTTCAGGATTAGTAACAATTTCTTCCCCTGAACTGATATGTGATCACCAGGTATTTCACAATAATTATCATGTTCAGAATCAATGGATTCTTCCCTTGAAACTGATATATTATACTCCTGTGTATCACAATTAACCATCTCAATATTTTTAACAGACTGAATATTAAAAGTATCATTAACAACATTGAAAATGTTACCTTTAAGATCTTCAAACAAATTCTACAGATCTAGCCTTAATGATTTTACCAGGATTTGATATATCTGCTAATCTATAGGTTTTACTATGAGCACAATATTCTACCATTATATATGGTTTTGATTTAGGATCTAACTTTTTCGCTGCTCTATAACCGAAAACTTGTATAAGGAACACTGCAGTATTAATTGCTTCAGCCCAATATTTCCTATTTAATCCAGAATCTTGAAGCATGGCTCTCGCCTTCTCCATAATGGTTCTGTTCAATCTTTTAGAAACACCATTTTGTTGTGGTGTATAAGGTACCGTAGTTTCATTGCTTAAAATATTCAATGAAACTCTTATTACAATATTCAGTACCATTATCAGTACGAAACCGTTTTATTTTAAAATTAATTTGGTTTTCGACCAACTTTTTAAAATCAATAAAAAAAATTAAAACGCTGTTTTGATTCTTATTCTGTAAAAAGTAAATAAAAGTTTTACGAGAAAAATTGTCTGTAAAAGTCATAAAATAACGCAAACCGCTCCAACTTTTTTCAGACGTGGGTCCACACAAATCTGAGTGGATCAGTTCTAATTTATTTGTCGTTCTTTTAGCCTGCCCTTTAGGAAAAACAAGATTGTTATTTTCCTTCAATACAAGGAATACATGAGCCCAAATCACCATTTTCAAAATTGACACCGGTAGTTAGCGAATCACGAAGCATTAACATACCTTTTAAACTGAGATGCCCCAAACGCCGATGCCAAGTTTCTAATGACCTAGTTTTAGATACTAAGCCATTATTTTTATTTCTATGTGATGACTCCACAGTTTAGATGACGATAATACTTCCTTTTAATCCAATCTGTAAACACTATGAACTTGTGTCGCTGTAAACTTACAAGAACCAATTATATTTACATCTGATTTATCATAAACACGACACAATATCAAATACTAAGATATAACCTTTTTGTGCTATTTTACTCATAGATAACAAATTTGCTGCAATATTTGGAACATACAATACATTAGTTATAGTTGTTGTATCACTATTACTAAGAACAACATTAATGTCACCTACACCTTCACTATACATTTTATTATTGTCATCAATGCTAATTTCAGAAGGCTGATTTTTTGAATAATTAACAAACCAGTAATTTCAATTAGTCATATGACTAGTACAACCAGAGTCAATTATCCAATTGTCATTAGTAATAGTGTTACTAAATAAAGCAGTATGATTTGAAAATAACATTGTATCTCTATTTTTTTGTGTGAGATATAGAACCTGACTGTTGTGAAGTAGAAGCATGCTGCAAATACTTATTAAACTCTATCTTTTTATTTTTCTTCTCCCTTCTTAGTTCAGGACACCTTGGCCTAATATGTTCTTCCTTCTTACAGTGATGACAGACGGGGACGAATTTATTTTTGACAGCTAAAGCTTTGTCCTTCAAAGCGTTTACGAATTCTGAGGTCAGTTTGGATTGTGTAGCCATTACTAATCGATCTAACTCGCTTGGTAAACCAATGATCATATGACATAGCTATATTGTAAGTGACACACCTGGGTTATTTAACAGCCAATCATTCATTGCTGTTATAAAAAGACTTGAATTGAGCATAGCACCCTACATCAAGAGGCTGTAGCTTATGGCTACAGTGCGAGGTAGCGTCAATAAAACCACTCCATTTTCATTAAAGCAACTGATAACATTAAAATCACAATGGCTCTGATGATTGTCCAAAATTAAAAGAATTTTACTATCCACACTGCATCTGGAAATATGTACAAGGTGTTCTGCAAACTTTAAAAAATTATCGGCCGTCATTCAATCACTAGGAAAAGCAGACCCTTGAGATGCAGGTAGCGCGCCGTGTTATTCAAGTTAGATAGTTTGGGCAAGAATAAAATAATCAAACGTTAATGTTTTCAGCTTTATTTCTGACTTTTACAACATAATGTCAACTCCGACAACTCGATTACCTATACTATATATAATGAATATACAGAAATTGCTAAAACTAATGGGCAATATCAACACGTGTATCATATGTGACTTAATTTGTTTTCGTGGGAATATAAGAAAGGAGAAATGTATTGGCCGTTTGCACATATGGTAACTAGGATACCTCGTTCAGAGCTGGTAATCTTTCTCACTTGATTTTATCCTACAGGAGCGACAATTTTGGAAGCCTTCTGGACTCTGGTTACTCCAGTTTTGTCGCAATTATAAATCTGATTTGTAGCGAATCCATGTTTTGCTATCACACTTTTTAAAGATTCTCAAAATTGTAGCTATGTTTAAGCTAGTAGTTTAGGTATGCAAAGGCAAAGCTGCGGCTGCCTCTGTCGAGACAATCTTATAAATTCGATACCAGCTTATTTATGATCATGCCAAGTCCACGAAATGACTTCATTATTAGCGACAGCAAATTTGTATGCAAAATGGCAGTAACTTTCATTGTCAACCCTTAGCACATATTGCAAGCAGCAATAAAGTAGTCAGCCAGCATCTTTTCCTCTTCATTAGTGAATATTTAAGAAAGGCCATGTTTTCTTTCAGAAGACAATTGTTGCCAGTCTTCTACATCAGTAGTCATTTACCCAGTACTGCAGTTTTCATAGTTTTAATGCAATTGTTTACTTATTTCTATTTTTTTTTCTCTCAGATCTCTGATACTGACCTTCAGCATCTGTAAAGAATAAACCTCTTAGGCCCAATTCCACCGCTAGTAGTTATGAAATAAACCAGGTTTAAAATGACATTTTTCCATTAATAATGTCATTTTAATCTTCGTTTAGTAATTTAAACTTCGTTTAACACAACGGTGTAATCGGCGCTAAGGAGCCTTTCCACCGCTAGTAGTTAATAAATTAGCAAAGATTAAAATGACATTGACAATGGAAAATGTAATTTTAAACCTGGTTTATTTCTTAACTACTAGCGGTTGAATTGGGTCTTATTTACGTAAATCTATAAGTGGTTCATGCTTGGACTATCCCACTCCATACCACCAAAACACCACTAGTATACCACAACTTGTTTTAGAATTAAATCAGATATATTTAATAAACTACTTT